CTGACAAACCGCTCATCTCTATATTCAAGATATGGCCAAAATCTAAATGTAAAAGTGCGGAAATTCCCGAAAAAATAAAGAATTCGGAATTGTCTGGTGATGTGCAAATCTACACACACAATATATTTGCAAGGTTCGACAAATCTTTGTGCAGTGGTTTATGAGAAATTGCGCTGACCAAAAGAAAAAAAAAGAAAGAAAAAAAGGACTGACTGACGGGTCAAAAACATTATACCTCACGCAACGATGCTACGTGCCTGCTTTTTGATTCGACACAAATTTTGGGTTTAGCGACAACAGCAAAATATGGACTTTGCCATTATAACCATATGGTAGCTCATTGCTCACAGTACCTCTTGTTTCTCTTTCAATTTGGGTGTTTGGGTTAATTTCTTGCCCAAATTAAAATTATTTTTCAATTTATGAAGTTTCGACATCCCGCTTGAGAAAAATCCTTGATCAGTTCTAAGGTTTAAATGACCTATTATTGCCCTAACGGATGAGGGAGAGAGAGAGAGAGAGAGAGAGAGAGTTCAATATACAAAAGAGTTAATAAAAATTATTCGTATTCAACCAGTGTCAAGTATCCCTACCCCAGCTTTTAAAATTATCTTCCAAACACTCCCAAAGAAATTATTTTCATTTAAAAAAATAACTAGATTATCAGACAGGGATACTGGACTCTCGAAAGACTCTCTGTACAACATAAAACAGTTACATTCCTAATAATGCACATTTCTTCGTGGTCGGAGTGACACATATAAAAAAAAATTCGGCAGAAATATCTGTCCTCCAGGAATATTAAAATTATGGTGGCATATTTCTGCCCCTTGTGTGCAAGTTATTTTTCTATAAAGTATGTCGACATGCAAGATAGATATGTTGACATGCAACAATGCTATGTCACCATGCAACATAAATATGTTGACATGCAAGAAAATTGCAATAAAATAAAAATCATAAAAAATCTACATAAATCTCAGATATTGCCCACATGTGACATCCAACATGCTAATTGCTACTTTTTTATGTTAACATGTAAGATAAATATGTCGACATGCAATTTATTTATGTCGACATGCATTTTTTTTTATGTCGACATGCAACTTATATATGTTAACAAGCAACCTATTTATGTTAACATGCAACTTATTTATGTCGACATGCAACTTGGTTATGTTGACATGCGAGATAAATATGTTGACATGCGACATATAAGTTGCATGTCGACATAAATATGTCGCATGCTTACATAAATAAATTGCATGTCAACATATTTATGTCGCATGTTTACATGAATAAGTTGCTTGTCGACATATTAATCTTGAATGTCAGCAAAAGTAAGTTGCATGTCAGAATAAATAAGTTGCATGTCAACATAAATAAGTTGCATGTCAACATATTTATTTTGCACGTTAACATAAATAAGTAGCATCTAGCATGTTGGATGTCACATGATAGGGATATTTGAGATTTTTGAAGATCTTGTGCACATCTTCGAACCGATGCAGTAACCTTATTTCCAGGTATGGGTACGTTTAAAACGTTCGAGGCGTTTTCTTGATATGCATCAATTGCATCTTTAGGACCTACAAATCAAAGACGTCGGTTTTTCTGTTCCATTCAAATGATATAATTTCAAAAATGTGTTTGCAGATTTTACTGTTTTCTATTTCAAGTTTATTCTGCATAAATTGGCGCACGTTAAAAAAAAAACCGTACTCATGCATCTAAACATCTTGCATTTTTTCTTTTGATTCAAATCAAATATTATTCAGAAATATGATAATTATGTTGTTTGTTGTGGTTTTGAAATGTCTTCATCACCTCACGTGTTCTCATATGCTTTACCATCGGAGATGTGCACAAGTCAATACCCAAGCCATAAAATCATTCACGTGTAACGACCGCATTGGGGTATACATCGTTACAATGAGACAAGGTATCTGAAAGAAATATGGCGGAATACGACTATAGTTGGTATGAAACAAGTCGTACATAGATGAAAATGTTGCGTTTTTAAGAATTCATGTCAGCTTTAATGTAGTTTTAGATACTGCGATATGCTCATTAACAAAATATGAAATACGATATGATTTATGTCTTGCAATGGCAGTACAATACTTTTAAACTATGTGTTACTCATGTATATAATAAATGAAGGAAATATAAAATCTACTTTAAAAATAAAGTATGAGTATGCAAATTCTATGAACGGCTAAATACTTATATTTTTCAAACAGAAAAACAATCGTTAATCAATTTTCAATTAGAATATGCATAGCTGATGTTTCTTTTTCATTTTTCCTGAGTTAATTTAGGGGGTCTTACAATTCCCCGTTATAATATCGGTGACTTTGATGATTAGCTTTGATGAAATGCTATACTGAAAATGCATTACTCTGTGAATTCAGAGGTATTATCTAAGCACAAGTAATATTGAAAGAAAAAAGAAACGCATAAAGACATAAAAGAAAAAAATTTACCATGTGACCGAAAATTATGACAATTGGTAAGATGTGTATTTTGGTTACGTTGCACAAAAATTGCTGGCCAAAACTACTCAACTATGAAATGCATGGCGTCACGTAAGGGAAATAATAAAAAGTAAAAAAAAAACACGTGCATGTTGATGATGATAATTTTGTGATCACATTTTAAAGTGCCATACGATGATACGATGCATTAGAGTTTCAGACTTCGTTTTTGCATAATTTCTGTCAGTATACGTTTCTTGCAATCATGGTATGGCTGATGGGGGTTACATTGGGTCTCGTAATTGAATTCAATATTGCATAAGTGAATACAAAGGCAACAACATGTTGATGTGAAGTTTGTTTTTAACTTTTGAGCCAAAAATAAATTTATTCGGTCACCAAAGAGTTCATGCACTTTAAATGTTTCCAATCAACCATGACGGTAACGTTGTCGCGTAACAACGTCACATCAAGATAGGACTTTTCATAATGCCACCACCTCGGTTATTGTCAACGCATTATCACTGAAATTTATATTTCTACAGCAGACAATCATACTCATTTTTTCATCCGAAAATGAACAGAAACTCTCGGATCTTATTTCGGCCACGAGCTTGGCAACTTTAGTTTTACTCTCACACGCACACGTACGCATCGTATGCCTTATGATTCTAGTGTGTTCACACTGGGAAAATGTAGCTAGTGTATGTCGAGACTTTTTCACAAACATTCACACGTAACAAACTTGCTGAATTCTGTCATTCTATCCTAAATCGAAAATTAGTGAAATCCATTGCGCGGGGGAGATTTGTTGGCTTTGGAATAATAAAGCTTCTTTCAACCATTAAGACTACCGTCGGAAGGGTTCAATACTTATCCTATGAAAAAGTTAAATGCTCTGGAGAACTCAATACACAGGAAAATCAAGTTTGTTACTAATTGGCAAGGGATATAGTGAGAATTTTTAGTTTTATTTTTTTTGGGGGGGGGGGGGGCGAAATATCAATTTAAATAACTCAAGAATTATCAGTCAAAATCACAGAAGATTTTGGTAACTTGTTTAATTAAGATGAATTAAAATGTACGGTAAAAATATTGGAAAACATTTTCAAAATTATTGTTTTAATTTAACGCAAAAGTTTAATATGCGTTTCTTTTTTTCTTTCAGTATATTTTAAATCATTTCACTGCTGATTTTATGAACTTGAGAATCGGACTAAATGTATATGAAATATTAGCTCAAGCAAAGAAAATATAATGCAATTACTAATGCTGCATTTATATCAAGAGTTAAATCATAAAGTTGTTGGTTGTGATGAATTGTTTGAGGAATGTGAATAGTCTTAGCATTTGATGTTTAATAAATATAATAATATAGGTGCATGTACCTCAAAATTTAATTCCTTAACTCCTGAATGGATAAATTTCTCAAGTAAAATAAAATTGTATTATTCGGGATCTTGGTTTATGCATATTATTTTCTACACACAATTGGTTGGTCGGATGGAATAAAATTTCTTCCGTCATTAAATCAAAGGTTGTAATAGAATAAATAGATTAAAAACGATAAAAATAATTACGAAATAAGCAATTGAACCAAGATTTTGGGACAATACGTAAAATTTACGAAGGTATTGACTCATAAGATTCATTAAGAAAAAAATCTTCACTTTATCTGCTGCTATGTGCTGCTACCACAGTGACTAAACTTTTGAACCATTCTAAAAGATTAAGTACATAAGATGGTATGAAATAAGAAAAAAAAAACAAGCATGGGAAATATTTTGAAAATAAATTTACAAAGAAATGTGAAGATGATAAATAGAACAGAAATAATGTTAAAAAAAGTCAAATAAATCAATGCAAATTTGTGCAGAGTAAACACAGACTTCTGAAAATAAATGTAGGACAATGTAAATGTCAAGAGGGACTGCGCATTTAAAGTTAACCTGATACACCCGGCGTGATTTCTTTTTCATGTACGGATAAACAGTGATTTCCTTGACAATTACGTGTGAAACTAGAAGCCTTACATTTTGCATAAAAATTTTCATCCAACAGGGTGCTTAATAATAGATTGCATTTACAAAGAAGGCTATTTTATGAACGATCACTGCACTTGATAAAAACATTGCAACAAAATAAACTTTAAAAACATTTTTATGAATGGGATGGCCATATGGCCCACTTGCATCCACTTTACAACTTTGGCTTACTGTACACTATATAGAGGACGGCCATGGTGAATCAAATTAAAATGAAGTGTAAGGATTTGTCATTTTATTTTAAGGAGTGGATTCTTTTGTATCAGAAAATAAAAGTGATGGACTAACTTGTATTTTTAGCTTTAATTTTCATAGATCATCTACAAATCATATACTACGTCATTAGCTCGAATCTCCAAATTTCTCATATAATGGCAAGTGTTTGTTTTCACCAATCTGCACACAATTGTAAGATTGTTCAGTTGAACTACATTGAACACAGTATCTGGTATTGTATGCAAAAAGAAAAATAACCTGATGAACATATCAAACTTTTTTCTGCATAAAAATACAACAATCTTTTGATTTTGCATATATCCTTCTGAAGAGACAAAGATCTTGTTAGTGCATCATTTTTTCTCTTTGCAAATATCTTTCTCAGGTTACGTTTCAAGATACAGGTGTATGATGCAGCATAAGGATTTTGTCTTTCAGCTATCGTAGACTACAAAGTTGTGTGACGAAGGCATCTGTAAAATATGTGAACATTTTTCATATAATATATTGAAAATGAATTTAAATGTAAGTGCAACGCCTAAAATTAAGCATGCAATTTTAACACTCATATTCTTATCCGTGTAGCATACAATGACCCTGGTAGAAAGAAATGTGAAGTCGTTGACTTCAACAATAAATTACAAACCATGCTTAAAGTATTCATCATCTCCTTACAATTTTTGTTTGTATTCTATTTGGTATACATGTATTTCGAGAAACATTTTGACATTTTGAAATTTGTTTTCTTTTTTTTTTACATTTATACATTTTAATTATTTTTAAAAACTGTATATCAAATATATAATTAAAGTCAAAATAAGTATTGTCAAGAAGCTGTGTAGTTTCATATAATGCTATATAAAATGAACATTTTAAAGTTAAATATCTTAATATAACCCCTATGGCTTAAAAGACCACATGGAAAGATAAAATTTATTTGAAAAAAATCAAAAATTTTTTAGGATTGCAACAATTAAAAAGTTTTGCAAGTTGCCAAATATTGCAACGACGCATAATGGTTTTGCGCGTTTAAAACCTAAAGCAACAAGCACAGATGTAAAAAATCAATATTTAACTATCAACTAATTGCCCGTTCCTTTGTGCTGCTTTCAAATGATCATATTAGATGCAATAGCTGTGCAATTATCTATTGAACCGTCAAAAGCTTTCAAAATCTCTGATTGACTAATTGAAAAATCTACACCCAGAGATGGAGATCTATATAAAGGAAACCACAATTTTCATTATTTCCAGATGACACAAGGCTTTACAGCTGGGTGGTATTGAAAACCAAAAGCAGAACTGTCAATTAAACGAGCCCATTGCATTTTTATAAGATGGGTTCAATATATTCCATACATAATCATGATATCAAAGAGCTAAAGTATGAGTTATATAAAATCATTTCATTATCTGTTTACATCTAACAAATAATGCATTTGTTATGGTTTTGTACAGTCTACTATACAGAAAACAAGAAATAAAAAGGAATATAACGCATTATTTAACGATGAAAGATTTATGTAACAGCTTAATTTCCTTATTATACCAACTTGAAAGAAAATCAGTATGTTGTTTCACAAAGAACTCAACATTAACAAAATGAAATCAGTGTTTAATTGACTATGTTAAAATATTAATTATGTTTACTGGAGCGGAATAAATACCATTTCTAAAATCTATTCCAGGCAATATTAGAGATAAATGCATCATATATATATACATCTTTAAAAGAAAAAAGAACACAGGTGTCTTTTTCTAAATGCCATTCTTAAATAAGATAGATGGGTATGTATAGTTTAGGGAAAAGGGTTTCACAAGTATAATACATACATGTAGCCTTTGTTGCACATTAAAACATATCAATTCACAAAGGTACCGAACTGTTAAAATCTTACCATGGTTTATTTGAGAAATTCCAAAAATGAACAACCTCTTCACAATAGGTAAGATATAAAGCCATAAAAACTTGAGAGCTTTCGTTAACATTGTTTAAATAACAAGTGTATTTAAGATTTGAATTTGTCAAAAACTTGTGAACAATTTGATCGTATATCTCTTTAATCAGAGAGCTTCTTGCACACACTTGAACTGCACCCATATGGCAAGTTGTAGGGAGCATGCATTGTACAAATAGATTACGCGATATCAAGTTTATTCAAGATTTAAAGTTGCCGAAAAACTGTCAGTTATTTAAGTATGTTTCTGTTGAATTAGAGATCCTTTTGAAACACTAGTACTTGAGCTGTAATATATCTTGGTCCGTTGATGAAATACATACTCTTTATGAAAGACCCTCACCGCATGCCACATATGCACATATTCTTTTAAAATTTCTATTCCTTTAACCATTGCAGTACCTAAACATACTATAAAACAACCATTGAAGAGTTGGGAATTCCTTAAAGTTGTGCATGAGATAGGTGCTAAATATGTTAAAAATTTATGTGAATACCATTAACGTTTACTTGTTTTCTAAATGTTTGAGATGTGTTCTATTCCTATACTTCACTAGAAAGTTGATCAAGCAGTTTATAGAAAAAAATCAACAAAATCCTTATCCATAAAACATCCATCCATACTTGTAATATTCAACAGGTCAATCGAAGTCAAATCTAGGTTAACGCAGTCATAACAATGGAAACGAGAAGTCTGTAATGAATATGATTTATTTTGTTAATTTTAGTGTGAACGCACTTTTGTCGGCTCTTGACGTTATTTTAGATAAACAACTACAGTTTTCTAAAGAACAGCCGACAAACATGCGCTTACTATTTATTCAGACAGTTCATTCTGCATGAGTGCATGCTGCAACATTTTTATAAGTTGAGAATAATTTTTTGCCACATATGCACTTTTTTCCACAAAGAGTGTACATTAATACCAAATTCTAAAAAATTCCTTTATTGATCATGAATGTAAGATTAAAGAAACCACCTTGCAACAAAAAATCAAGTGCAGAAATGTCTAAATTGTAAAATTTGAGTGCCGATAGAGATACAGTCTGTCAACGATGAATTCTAGGTAGACATTGTTTTTTTTATTTCTGTCTTTATATTATTCAAACACCATCTGGGATCTGCTGTGACCAGTCTCTGCCATTAGCAAATAATTATCATAACAAGCAAAGAGCAAGAGCCATCTTATGCATAAAATAGCCCTGTACTTAAAGCAATTAATTAACTATCACCCTCTTTCCATTTTCATATATCAAAATAAAGTAGACACTTGGTGCTTTCATGTTCTATAATGAAATTTTGTTTTGAGAATCCAAATATTTGAAAACAGGCTTTGAGAAATTGCAATGTTCTTGAAATTTGCAGAAAATATGCGTATTTGACTACCTTCAACAAAGAATTAAAATATGAGCACAGCCCGCGATCCAAAAAATAAAACATGTTTTTTGATCTTCCGAAATAGACCTTTCAATATGTATTGGCATATTTTGGATCGGAGGCTGTGCTCTATATGAAATATTGAAAAAACGCTTCAACATTAGGTCATTTTCAAAGGAATTTACAGGATATGAGGAAAATGACGCATTTTATGACGTCATAATGCATTGACTAGATGTGAAATTACGTCACAATTAATAGATACGTGGTCACCAACAGTCCAAGTGATAAATACTGCATTTGCAACCTAAACTGAGCGGTTTTGAATTTTCAGGAATTCTCAGGGCCAAATAAAGCCCAAAGTGGCTCTACCTCTTTACCACTGTTACAGTTCAGAACCGCACCAACTAATATGTAGCCGAGGGACGCCTACAATTAAATGACATTTATTCTGCCGTAGTTCACAAATACAGAACATAAGAAATACACAGTCTGAACTACAAGGTACGCAACCACATCTAACACTGATAGCATTACTAACAGATGTCTGTCTAAGCCAAGCAGATGCATAAAATCCGCATCTCTGACATTTAAAACTTCAGAGTGTTGAGTCCTGATTATATTACCCCTACAATGCTAGTTGGTTGTACAATCAGTATAAATACAACACATATTTGTCAGAGGAATCAAAGACTTCATGCATTATCATGGTTGAGTTCCTGAATTGGGACCTGAAACCAGGCTTGTTACTTATGAGGTAACTGTACCATGACAGCCGCAGTACTCATCCAGTCTGCCGCAGAGGATTTATCAGGTGTGAAATCACTTGACTTCAGATGAACGCATCTAATACCTTGTACACTAAAACAAAATTATCAATTTTGCAAGACAAAGAAACGATTTATATCAAGGAGGCACCTGTATTCGGAGGATAAAATAAATACCATTTTGATAGAAAAAGAAATAATAAACAGACAAGATCTACTTAAAGAAAGTAAGACTATACCTGATAAACAGCCTTCAGCGCTTGTTACATGTACCAGTTAAAACCTTGGAAATTATTATGCAAACACTGTAAAATTATCTACAAGATAAGAATTTCCGAAGTCTCCTGTCATTGTGTACACTCGACTTAGAAACTTGAACTCGACTGGGGGGTTATTAATTTACACATAAGTATAAGTCATACATATCGCTGAAAAAAAAAATTGCTAATACAACTTAAGTTTTCTAACGCCATCGTGATGATCTGACGGGTCATCCCAACTCCGAAAAAATATAAATTTTACAATAAAAAAAGATTATGCAACGAGTTTATTTTCAGTTAACATTAGGCGGTCTATAGACATTCTACAATGATTTCCTTCTGAAACGCATACTTGGAATCATAGTGCGTTTTAAAAGGGGTGGTTTCATGTGTTATTTTTATAATTTAATCCATATCTGGACTTCAATTTATGAAAGGAATGATTCTCAAAGGTAGGTGTTTGTTAATTTTCCTAAAGAGGGGGATATAAAAAGTACAAGATCATACCTTATTCCATAAGGATCCGCAGGAAAGAAGGTTGTGTCATTGAATTAACATGAGCTTATTTTCCTTAATATTTTTGTCTTTTTAAAAGAGCCCCAGCTAATAACGACGTTCTGCTATTTATTTTCTTTTTGTGATTTTTATTCACACTAAATAAATCAAGATATAATTAGATCCTAATATCCGACCTAAATATCTGATGACATTCATGATTATTATTCTTTCTCCCAAATGTACATGTGGCCAAACTGAAGACATTATTTTTTTCTTTGAATGCAAAGAAAAATAAACGTCCAATAAATGACTTTATAAACACAGGGCTGATTTCAAAACTTTACCATATATACACTGTAAAAAATAAGTGTTTAATAAATAAACACCAAATTGCAACAGATAATAAACACTTCAACACGTTTAGAATTTAAACACCTCAAGAAGTGTTTAAGAAATAAACACGTTAGAATGTTTAAATTTTAAACACATGAGGTTTTATCAATCCACACTTCTAAAACACAAAATGTTTAAAGATTAAACACTGAATGAATACTTAAAGTTTACTAAATAAACATCGTGAGTGTTTAAAATTTAAACATTTCATGTTTAATTA